AAGGAGGGGTGCCGTGAGGGTCATGGAAAGTTGAGAGGGCGGGACTGTGGTGGGACGGCGAAGCGAGTGAGGAGGACTTTGCAACATACATGGCCATCCCGCCCTCAAATTCGTGCCTGCTGAGCATGCTCCTGCCCGACACCCCTCCCCCCCCGCCTTGCGCACCCCAGGCCTGGGAGCACGGCTTCCACCGCCTCTTCGACCTCCCCCGGGATGGCGAGAGGTCTGCGGAGTACGAGGAGTACACCCGGGCCCTGCCCACCATCACTGTGGGCAACATCGTGCCAGAGGTTAACCCTCGCCTGGGCGCGACACACATGACCATCGCGTGAGTGGGAGTGACGGGGAGGTGATGAGCTCGACTGGTTCGGGCCTGCTATGCAGATGCGCTGCGCATGTGCACATCGTGAGTGCTGCGAGTGTCGACCACCCCCTACCAGGATTATCATCGTGAAGGCTGCCATGCAGCCCGCTGGCGATTCCCTCAAAGCCTCCTCCTGCGATGCCATGCAAATTGAACAGCGCCATCCTGCAGGAACCTTGCGTGCCTCTGCCCTGGGGCCCCCACCCCACCATCACCCTACCCACACACTCCCCGCCCACACAGGTTACAGCAGAGGCCAGAGCGCAACACAACGATCACCATCAGCCCGGCTGAGCCTTGGCTCGTGACCGTGAGCCCCCGTTCCATCAGTTTCACTACCGACAACTGGAGCGCGACCCAGCAGATTGCCATCACCGCACGTACGCATCTCTGAGTCTTGGTGGCAGGAGGGGGTCCAGCAGGCTGTGCGGCATGCAATGCTGCCTGCTGCACACTGTTTTGGTCTCATGCAGTCCCCACCCTCATCTGTGCTTCGCCACGCCGCCGCACAGGTCCCGACCGACCCGAGACGAGTGCAACGCTCCAGTTCCAACTCAACCTGACCTGGCCGGTTGTGGACGAGGCCGGGAGGTGGTCTGAGCGTATCAAGTCGATATCGTGAGCGTGAGGCGTTGGAAAGTGCATGCCTGCTGTAGAGGCTACATGGGGAGATGTGCTGAGAAGTGTGGCATCTCCATCGCACCCCAATCTCCCACACATCTCCGCACATCCCAGCGGTGTCGTGTGGGCCGAGCGCAAGGGTACCAGCTTCTTCAATCCCCAGGAGGTTCAGGCCCCCTTCCGTCATGTGGCCGATCTGGAGGTGTGAGGGCCAGTGGTGGGCAGTGGCATCATGTCACCTGAGTTGGAGCAGATGTCCTGCTTGGCAGCATGGTATGCGGCCCGGAAGGAACAGCTGAAGCACCTCTTGACATGCCCAAACTCGCCATGGGCTCCACCAGCACCCTCCTCGTCGGTCACCCTGCAGAGGTTCAACCCTCAAGTCCCCCTGATCGCTCAACACATTGGCCCCTTTGTCCCTGCCCAATACTTTTCCTACAAGGCAGGGGAGTCTGAGGTGAGCAAGCTGTTACGCCTCTCCGTGTCTCATTGTTGTTTTCTGATCGTCTTGATCCAGGCAACGGCGCATGGGCAGGACTGCATGCCCAGCTCTGCCCCACGCCCGGCACCCATGGCAGGGCATCGTCATTGAGACATGCCCCCATACGAGGGACCCAAACGCCCACAACATGACCGCGACCATTTTCGGCAGCCTATGGACTACCAACAAGGCCATACCGTGAGTGTGGGCTGAGTGCGGTATCAATGATGGCAGAGGAGCTGGGGACGAGTTTCATTGGGGCTGTGGCATCCGAAGACAGGCACACCATGCTGACATACCCCACTGGCCCACCTCCTGTCCAGACAACGTACCAAGGCTGTCAGCATTCCTCGAACGGGATGCACCCAGGTGCTGGCAGGGCTGCCCGGCGGACAGAGTGAGCTGGGTGTGCCTGTGAGGGGTAATGCCGTGTGGTAGAGAATTGGGGTCCATGGAGTGCTTGACACAGCAGTAAAAAGACAAGGGCGGCCGTCACAGAGTGTGCTCTCATGTCAGGCCATGTATGGAGGACCCCCCCTCCAATTCACGTTGCTGGACCCCAACTGCAGCATATTACATTGTGATGTACCCCAAGTCACCTTTCACGGTGCCTGGGGGTGCCAAGCACCTGAATCAGAAAGCCTCCATCACCATTGAGAGGGTTCCACTCCCTCAGGTAGGGCCTCCTTCATGGTCACCAGGGTGAAGGCCTGACACAATGGCCATCAGCTGCCACCAGTCTGCCTAGATCTGTGAGACATTGATTGGCCTCTGACATGCTCCTGGGTTAAGCCAATCTGCTAACACTCCCCCAGGTCCTGGACCAGCTGGAGAAGGAGGGCGATGTGTCCATGATCACCAGTCTGCCCGCCAGGGAAATTGTCGAGGTGGGGAGAGGCCGGGAATGGGCGGTTGCACCTGTGAGGCACCACTTCAGACCGTATGAGAAGATGCCCACCTCTCAGCTCGGTTCCTTTGCAACGCACCACCTCTGCAGGCCAGTACGACCCCAACCACCTACTTTTTCCGTCCTGAGGCGGACCTCACGCTGAACATCACCACCTGCTCGGAGGAAACAACGGTAGGGAGTGGGCTGGAGGTCCTAGACGATCACCTCAGGATTATCCGGTGAGACGGGTGGGCGAAGAGCTTGCTGAGGAGCAACGAAGAAGGATCGTGACCGTGGAGCTTGCCTGCAGTGGAGAACACCTGGTCATTGATCGCCCCAGCTATGCGCTGGAAAGCATAGCAGTGATCCTCATTATCGGAACCTGTGGTATGCAGACAAAGTGGGGCCCCCACAGGCGACAGCTGCGCCACACTGAGTGCACTGAAGCTGGAGGGAGGTCGACTGTACCTCATACAGGGCTCCAATGTGAACTTTGAGGTGAGCCTTGGGGGTGCAGAACCTGCCACCAGAGACTCGCCTCTGGTCAAGCACGTCCATCAGACCTGAGGCGTCGATGGTACTTCTGACTCGACTCGTGTACTCTTGCATTGCAGGAGTCCATGAGCAGAGGTACTCGTCAATTTGCATTGGTGCTGACGAAGGAGTGACAGTATTGCCAATAACGCCTCCTGCAGCTGGTTTCCGCCCAGTGATCACTCTGCACGTCAAGTAAGCAAGCCCCATCGAAATAAAATGTGGTGGGCTACCAGCATCACTAGTCAAACTTTAATAGGCCCATACTATGAATGTGTGCCTATGGAACTGTTCGTAGGCGTCAATCCGCTGCCCGAGGTTTGACAAGTGGTGTGCGGACGCATGATGCCCGTCCCACGCGGCAGATCCGCAAACCAGTCCATGACATTTTTAGCTCTTGCTGCAGATCTCCATGGCTCCGACCCTAAGGGAAAGTGTGTTGAGACGCACTATGTAGGCTGGAGACGCATCGCGTGGGCTCACACACCAAGCTTGTCGAGCCGCAGGGCAGCCTGGGAGCCACTCCGCTCCTCAGCAACACGGCGATGCTTGTAACGCAGAACACACCTGGCACCACACAGCCCCTTTCATCCCAGCATGTTGAAATTATCCAATTTGGTTGTAGCAGAGGATCCCTGACCCCGCAGGTGCCCTCTCTCTATCTTTTGTGTGCTGACGCCGCTTCGCCCGCGCCATAATCGCATCCCTCGAAGGCCGGGCCCCTTATTGGAGATTGCGCCTGCAGATGAATGTTTAAGGCGGTCAACCCTACATAAACTTAAAATCCCTGTGGCCCTGGCCTCTGCAATTTTTAGCCGTGGCCTTATCCGGCTCTGCGGATATCATCCGGAGTCGACCGCTTTCCCTGACATGCGGAGGTGTCCCCCAGGGACTCAGGGGACTCTGTCCCTCACCGGGTATAATATGAGCACATTAGAATCTTATGAAGAAATTACTTATGATAATTCTGGGCTGCGGTTCGGATCGTATGAGGAAAACCCTTCAAGGCTTGAGAGGATCCAAGGTACACTGCGCGCGTGCGCCTCGACTCATTCCCCGAATCTTCATGGGGCAAGCAACGTGTCAGGCCGGTCCGCGTCTAACTCTGGCGGTATTGCTTTGTCTTCTTGTTTCGCTGAAGAATGTAAGCTTTAGTAACACTTGGTGAACGTTCTTCCTTGGGCAGGGCTGCACGCCGCGGTATGCCGCTTCAATGGACCGAGTCCCCCGATCCTCGTGGGGAGGGGGTGCCTCCCCGTCCAGCGCCTGAAGAGCAGGCGGGCCCTCTCCCATGCTGGTGTCATGCAAGACCCAAAGCTTCTTTGGATCCCCTCTGGAATTAAATGCTCACTCAGGTGGGTGTTGGCCACTCCGCTATGCCCTCCTCCCGTCTCTATCGACTTTACATGGTGTAGGTGGGAGGCTCTGACAAGATTCAAGCGTTTGCATCCTCCCCCACCCTCAGAAAACGCGCTGATCGTGAGCTCGCTCTTCTCTTCCGATGACTGCAATGTGGATGCCACCTGTGACACCTCTTCGCTGCCACTCCAGCAGCGATCCGTAGTCCAGCTGACGCACCCCTTGGCACATACCTTCTGCTCAGGTATGGAGCTGAAGGCTCGCATGCCCTGGACATGACATATCCCGTCGACCCATGGCTGTACCCTGCCCGCAATGCATTCCCTCACCCTCCCCTCCAGGTACCCTCATAAAGGGGCCTGGAGACAAGGTCTACGTCCTCTCAGCACGTCACTGCATTGCCACATTAAATGTTAACATCGTGTACCCCTGGAGCTCCTACGGCGTACTCTTCAACTTCAGGCTGCCATGTGGCGCGTCGCGAGTGGACAACATCACCGCGACCTTCAGCGATTTCCTGCAGGTGGGCCATGAGCCAGGTGTCTCTTGCATGCACTCGCGCAGATCACATGCCCTGCAGAGCGGGGGTGACCGGGGTGATGCACTCCACTCCATCGCAAAAGCATCGGATCCAGGGTTCATACAGCAAGTCCTTGGCATGACTTGGCAAGCCTCCGGCCCCACCTTCCATGCGAGCAGGGCCTCTCGGTGGTGTTCCAGGATGTGAACAGCGATGTGGCGGTGTTCGAGCTGCTGCAGGACATCCCGCCAGAGTGGAATGTCATGCTGGCAGGTGAATTTGCATGCCTGTGTGCCGTAAATTTTGCATGGGCTGATGGGATGGAGGTTGCCCAGTAGGATCAGGAACGATGGCGGCCCCAGCCCTGAACAGCATTGCGTCAGCGTCCAGGTGAACCAATCATGTTTCCTTAGCCCTGTGCCCTCTCTCCTTGTCAGGGTGGGACGCCTCCAATGTTCTGAATAACTTCACATGGACGGATGTTTCCCATCCGGCTGGAGACTCGCAGAAGATCGCAACTGGCATGTGCGTGGAGAGCGTGAGCACATTGGTGGTGGGGTGCGTCACCAGGACAGGCATCCTTGTCAGGGCTTTCCTTGCAGGCTGCCCTGCCTCGACAAGCAGCTGTGTTTTCAATGGGGTGGGTGCCGATTCCTGCCACCTTCTGATGGCGTGCAGCAGCAGAGCGCCTCTCCTTGCCTCGAGAGCATCCTTGCCCCAACTCTCCTTGTCACTCCCCCCCCCCCCTCCACGGGTCGACCGTATTGCAGCCTCCTCTACATTCGCAGCAGACAGGTCTGTGGATGTGTCAAACGACACCGGCTGCGCCTCACCACACTGCGGATACTTTGATTCCATCCTGTACGGCGGGTCTATTCAGGCGGGATCCAGCGGCAGCGGCATCGTGCACGACGGTGAGTGGGTGGGGAGCCGAGGTGCCTCGCTGCACACTCTGAATCTGGGGCGACACTCGTGCTCGGACCTCGCCCTGGATGAATTCCTTAGATCCAGCACGCACATGTGCATGACCTGCATCTCAGGAGCCCCTCCCCCGTCCTGACCGAGTGCTCTTGCGCAGACCTGCACAGGGTCGTGGGTGTTCTCTCCAGCGGAGAAGGCGAGGACTGTGCCCACGCTGAGGATCCCTACAGCCACGAGGGGCCTGTGGCCACATCCGGACGCCTGGCTAGGGTAAGCTGGTCCCACTCCAGGCATCCCCTGTGCATCTCACGCCCCCCTCCCCTTCGCAGTGGCTGTGGCTGCATGAACTGGGACGCTGGCCCGAAAGATGAGAGGCCCTGGCGCCCCCACCTCCACATTGCCCTCTGTTTACCAGGCCTGGGTCAGTGGGCTGTACCACCTGTTTGATGGCGCCACCGTGGACCAGCCAGGCAGCGCCGAATACACGAACTACTCGCCCCCTCTGCCCACGCTGAGCATCGGGAACATTGTGCCGGAGGTGAACCCCATCCTGGGGCCCGCAGCCATCTCCATCCAGTAAGGGGTGGCATGCGGAGGAGGGGGGAGTGTGAGGGTACTTGACTTGGCCAGGCCCTGAAACTGACCCATGTGCCCGTGGCAGAGGCTGTTTGTCGTGCATGAGACGCTGGTCTGCCGACCACCCCACCCCAAGCGACAACTCCGTGCAATTCACTTTCCTCCTTCCCTTCCACAGGCTGCAGCAGGCCCCACAGCACACGACCACGGTGGAGATTGCCTCAATGGACAAGACCTTGATCAGCGTCTCGCCCCTCATCTGTGACCTTCACCGCCAGCAACTGGAGCACGCCGCAGTATGTCAACCTGACTGCCGGTAAGGACAGTGTGGTGGTGGCGAGGACAGGCGTCCCGCGGGAAGTGGTTTTGGAAGGGCTAGGTGCAGTGACTGGCGGCACCCCAGGCAGGGGAGGAGCAGAATGAGAATCATGTAAGGGTCTGCAACACCCGAGCTGAGTTGTTGTGATACACAATGCTGACATGTGTCCCTCGTCCTCCCCCCGACCTCCAGTGGACACTGTTCTTCTTTCGGAGTCAGCCGCATCCTTTGAGCTGAGCCTTAGCTGGCCCACAGTGACATCCAGCGGAGTGCATGGATCAAGGAACAAGATGATCACGTGAGCTGGTGGCGGGGCACACCACCCTGCTTTGATGTCCTGGGTGCCAGGCCTTGTCCTGTTTGCCTGAGCAGCTCAGGACTGTGAGGGGCCAGGGATGCACGCGCTTTGATTCGCTCGCCCACACACTTGATTGCTTCTACCTGACCGCACCTTGACTCATCTCCTCTCCATCGCATGCGTGCTCACAGGGGTATTGTGCGGAGCAGCATGCATGGATCAAGCTTTTTCAACCCAGTGGTAGTGGCCAGTGTTCCCTACAAGGCCCACGGCAGCATCTCGGTGAGTGGATCCAGATATGAAAGCACATGGCATGCCAGGGTGATGGTGCAATTGTGCGCCTTGGCGCGGGCCGGTGACATTGCATGCATTGACGGCACAGTCCCACGCTGGCTCTCCCCGCCATTGGCTCATACCCCTACTCCCCATTCCTTGCCGCAGAAGTTCAACCCCCAGGCACCCTTCATCACATTTGACAATGGGCCTTTCCTCCCCAGCGTCTACTTATCCTACGCACCCTCTGTAGCTGAGGTGAGTGGGCTGTTCTCGGTGTGCCACCCTGTGCTCATGGACGTCGGCGCTCAGTATGCGACCCAGAGCACCCCTGCCCCTGGCGCACACCGCCTCCACATCCGGTCGCACAGCATCCCACCCCATGCTTCCTGGCTTGACCCTCTACCCCTCTGTGAAACATATCGTCCGCCCACAGGGTCTCTCGATTGTGGTGTGCCCCCTCACCGAGGCCCTGGCCCGGGCTCCCTCACTGCCACCATCTACGATTCCAGCTGGACTGCCTACGATTGCTCCCGTGAGCCAGGCTGGTGTGGGCATGGGGTAACGCGGGACCAGGCATCTTGCGTGTTGATGCCGATCTGGCCCCACAGGTTCTGTGTGGGGTTTGGCTCCAATGTGTTCTTGTTCTGGACCACAGCGTGTACCCCTCCAGGGAGTCAGGTGAAGTGGGCAGCGGTCCCATCAGGTTTCCAGCCCCCGACCTGTACTCCCTGCAGGGCAAGTCGCAGAATCAATACCAGAGGTCGGGCATGGGTGCACCAAGGTTGTGGCCGCTCTCCCTGGGAACGACAGTACGTTGGGACCCTTGGATGGGGCGGAGGGAGGCTGGGGATCGGTGGTGTGCCCCTGTCCTGCCTGTCTCTGTGCAAGGGAGTGTGGCTGAGGCATTGCAGCCCATTTTATGCACAATGCAGCGCCCCATTCTCCTGGTGCAGCCAGTCTGACGTCCTAAAGTGCACCCGGCACAGCTCCCTGCCCCTCCACACTCCCATCCCACAGCCTACTATATCGTCGTGTACCCGGCCGCCTCGTTTGTCGTGCCCGGCACCTCTGACCACTTCCAGGGCGACTTTTTGGTGAAGATGAAACCCCTTGCCGTCGAAAAGGTGGGATGCATCCCTGCTACCGCACTGCGGACGGGCGGGGCGTCGCCCACAGCCAGCCTGGGCACATGATGTGCCTATGCACAGGTGGCTGCCAGCATCACATCCCTTGCCTGTCCCCTCCCACCACCCCCAGTTTTTAGTGGTTTCCCCTCCGGGTCCCCACAGGTAATGGCTGCGCTCGATAGGAGTGCACAGGTCCCTAGTATCAACAGCGTCCCGTACGAGGCATATGGTTCCCCCAGCCCCACTGGCCAGATGTTCTACTTCAGTCCCCCGCTGAGCACTCGGGTGGACATCAGCACCTGCTTCAATGCCACCACGGTCGCCACAGCCGTGTCCCTCTTGGATGGGGATACCCTCCTGCCCATCAGGTGCTTGATGCATGGCTTGGTGGGGGGGCAGTCCACTGCAGTGAGCCAGTCCATTAACACCACCCTCTGGCCCCTTGGAAGACACACGCACATGCGCATGCAAGAACTCACTCGCATACTTCATACAGCTGGACCCACTGCGTTTATCACCATCTCACCCAGAGAACCATCCACCCCACGCAGCGACAGCGGTGAGGGGTGCGGCACCCTCCTGGACCAGCCTGTCGAGCGGGGCAAGGCATACCTGGTCCTGGTCACAACCCCGCCCACCTCCGTGTCCCTCAGCCGCAAGCCCTCCATGATCTTGATGAACCTGGACATCTCCTCGGGGGCTCCCGGGGCGGGCATGGGCTTTGGCGCGGTGGACGACGCCGACATCACCACTGTTGCGAACCTGAAGGTCCGTGACGTCGGTGATGGGCCTGCACTCAAGCTGGCCCTGGCTCCTCCCAAGCCCTGATGGCTGCACAAGTTCGGGGGGCCTGCATCATGGCCAGGACGCCTCCCGAGCGCACCCCTCCACCCATCGGTGGCCTGGAGGCGCAGTAGTCTGGCGGCACGGAGAGCTGGTTGCCTGTCAGTACGCTGGCGAGCAGGTCTGGGCGGTGATATTGGGCGGCACCATCGCAGCATTGAAAGTACATGGTGAGAAACTGACATGCCCTTGCTTGCAATGTGCATATGACCTGGAGACCCTTTTTCCAATCAATCACCGACCACCACCTACATCCTGGAGCTTTGCAGTGTCATGCATTGTGAGGCTTTCCAGAAGGCACCCTCCAGCCCCCCCCCCCGCCTTGAATAGGAATGCCTCTATATTCTGAACGATCGAGATACCGAGATCTCTCGCGTTTTCAAGTCATTCAGCTTCGTGCAACTCTATACCGCCCAAAGGTTTTGGTTCCGCTTTCTGCAGCGACACCGCGAACCGGCTGAGAGATGCCCGGGGAATCAGTAAATCGGGTTCCAGACCTATACTGAACGCGCACCCCGTCCGTGCATATGCTTAAAGCTCGTGTCAGCCCACTCAGAGCCTGTCGATCCACAGGGCCGCCCAAGAGCCAGCCCCTTCGTCTCTGAAAGAAGGATTGGCTCGTGCTATACAGGACTCCGGCGCTAGGATAGCCTCTCACATTCTAGGCTTTGACGACCTTGGAAGCTTGCCTATCGCAGAGAAGCTATCACCCGCCGCTCCCCCTTCCATCGTGTGCGCACATTGTGATTGTTGACAAGACTGCGGATGGGGAGGTGGCGTACGGGGCTCCCTGCCCTGAAAAACTCTCTCAGAACCAGTCTGTGGCCTTCATCTGGTCAGTAAGGGACCAGCCCACTGGATTAGGGACGCTTCACTGTTACAACGGCGCTCAGGGCAGAGAGTCCGCAGTCACAGGGCCACGTATTTGCTCGGAGGGGGAGGACGGGCGTCCGCAGCGGAATCCTAGGGACGAGCCGGAGGAGGCCACGCCCGGTACAGGCAGTTGCCAAAGCAACTGGGGCCAATGGGGTTGGGAGAGCAAATTATTCGACCCCAAGCGTGAGTGCTGTGCACAACGCAACATCCCGCGAGAGGGCCTCCTTCATCAGGGCAGACTTTGTGACCCCTACCCCGGCAACAATTCGGTGAGAATATCCGTCAAACCCTACCTTAGACCATATGTTGATGCCAGCATTGCGATTCTCAACAATCCCATGTCGGATGAGCCTCCCCTTTCTTAACCCGTCCTGTGGCATGACTTTTGAACGACGCCGCTTCCTACAAACCCATCCTAGAGATGCGAAGTTGTTGCCCTCGAACTGAAGGGCATCTTTCCCTCGCTGGGTAGCCCTGAATACTGATGGAATGGCTGAATGCACCTTAAGCTGAGAGGAAAATTGGGTTACTTACCGGGGCACCAGTACGGCCCTTCGAGCCGTGTAAGGAGCTCCGCGCCAAGTCGCCGTGTCAGCCACTACCCTTTCCCCCTTCCCCCCCGCGCCTCCTGCCACATTCTCCATGACGAGGCCGGCGAGTCGTGCTGACTTGCAACGGAGAGTGGTGGCCATCTTGTTTACCCTTGCTTCGCTCAGATATGTGAGATCGGGCCCATGGCAAACTGCCCTCCCTCCCTCAAGATGCTCTATAAGGGGTGGCGATCCGTTATGCCCAATATTGTTTGGTCCCTGCCACCATTGAATTTGTGCCGAGCGTGCGCCATTTCCCCCTAGCCTTCAGCTCTCTCCTGGTATCCCGCCATGCAGGTGTCTTGCCAGACCCACAGCTTCTTTACATCTCCCTTTGCGCTCAGTGTATTCTCAGGTCAGCCTGGAGAACAAGCCTGCTAACGCTTTTATATTTGCCTGACTTCCTAGCTGCTCCTGTAACCGCTTCGTACATGTTCCCAGCGTTCGGCTGCATCCCCGTCCTCAGAGAACAGGCTGATTGTGGGCTCGCTCTTCTCGTCTGCCGATTGCAATGTGGACGCCACCTGCGACCCAGCCTCGCTGCCACAGCAGCTGTCGGTGGTGCAGCTGACGCACCCCCTGACAAGCAACTTTTGTACCGGTATGGAGCAGGTGGCTTGCATGCATCGAGTGCGGCATGAACTCCTTACAGATGGCTCTCAAATTCCCACTGGGGTACCCCTTTCGCCTTGCTGCAGGTACCCTTATCAAGGGTCCTGGGGATAAGATCTATATCCTCTCGGCACGTCACTGCCTCACCAGCTTTGACACCAGCTTTGTGTACCCCTGGAGCTCCTACGGCGTACTCTTCAACTTCAGGCTGCCATGTGGCGCGTCGCGAGTGGACAACATCACGGCGACCTTCAGCGATTTCCTGCAGGTGGGCCATGAGGCAGGTGTCTCTTGCATGCACTCACGCAGATCACATGCCTTGCAGAGCGGGGGTGACCGGGGTGATGCATTCCACTCCATTGCAAAAGCATCGGATCCAGGGTTCATACAGCAAGTCCTTGGCATGACTTGGCAAGCCTCCGGCCCCACCTTCCATGCGAGCAGGGCCTCTCGGTGGTGTTCCAGGATGTGAACAGCGATGTGGCGGTGTTCGAGCTGCTGCAGGACATCCCGCCAGAGTGGAATGTCATGCTGGCAGGTGTGCACTCATGCAGGGCCACTCCGCCATCGTGCAAGGGGCTTCTGGACAGCTCACCTCCCTGCATTTTGACATGATGGCCGTGGAAAGCCCTGGTCCGTCCTGCGTGTTTCTTGAGGTGAGGGCTCCCTGTCCGTTAAAGATTTCTCCTCTCCTCCCACTCCACCAGGCTGGGACGCATCCAATGTGCTGAACAACTTCACGTGGACAGATGTCTCCCAGCCCTTTGGGGACTCGCAGAAGATCTCCACTGGCTTGTGTGTGGGGGCACAGGAGCTCTGTGGTTGGGGTGTGCAGCATTGTTATGATCAATGGGCCATGCTCTGCATGCTGCCTGCACAGCACTCGACCCGGATCCTGGGTCCTTGCCTGCTGGCCTCTTCCTTCCGTCGTCCCGCTGTCAACGAGTGGCTTTAGCACGATGGCTCGGGTCCCCTCCACCAGCACCACTCTCCCTGCCCCACCCTTGCTTCCAGGGTCATTGGGACTGTCATGTCCTCCTACTTCAATCAAGATGGGTATGTTGAGGTTTCTGCTGACACCGACTGTGCTTCACCGAGGTGCGGGTACTTCAACTCCATAATGTACAGTGGGACTCTCCAGGAGGGAGCCAGTGGCAGCGGCCTTGTGCATGACGGTGAGTGGGTCGAGAGCCGAGGTGCCGTGCCTGGTGCTCTGGATTTAGGGCAGTATCTTCCCTCCGCACTCACCCCAACCAGCCCCAAGGGCTGGCACGGTATCCCCAGCATCTCAGAGTTCTTCTCCCTTCCTCGCCTACTGCTTTTGTGCAGACCTGCGCAGGGTCGTGGGTGTGCTGTCCAGCGGAGCAGGCGAGGACTGTGCCAATCCCGAGGATCCCTACGATGCTGCGTCGCCTAGCATGACATTTGGACGCTTGGCAAGGGTGAGTGGTTTTCAACAGATGCGCATGCTGCCCAGCTCAATGCCGTGGCCCTTGCGAGCGCTGTGGCTGCATGAATGTGAGCCCTGATTGAGACACCTGACGGACGCTCGCCAACCCACCCACTCTTACGCCATTCTGAGCGCACCAGGCCTGGATCAGTGGACTGTACCATCTGTTTGACGGCGCCACAGTAGAACAGCCAGGCGGTGCTGATTACTCAACCTACTCGGCCCCCTTGCCCACTCTGACCATCGAAAACATAGTGCCAGAGGTGAACCCCATCCTAGGGCCCGCAGTCATCTCTATCCAGTGAGAACGGGCATGGGGATGATGGCCGAGGGGGGGGAAGAGGGAGGGGGGAGGGGTGGACGGTATATGGGTGGCCAGCCCCGGAAACTGACCCGCATGCTTGTGGCAGAGGCTGCTTGCTGTGCATGTGACGCTGATTCGCCAACCACCCACAGCCAAGCGACAACTCAGTGCAATTCACTGTCCTTCCCTTCTCCCACAGGCTGCAGCAGGCCCCACAGCACACGACCACGGTGGAGATTGCCTCAATGGACAAGACCTTGATCAGCGTCTCGCCCTCATCTGTGACCTTCACCGCCAGCAACTGGAGCACGCCGCAGTATGTCAACCTGACTGCCGGTAAGGACAGTGTGGTGGTGGCGAGGACAGGCGTCCCGCGGGAAGTGGTTTTGGAAGGGCTAGGTGCAGTGACTGGCGGCACCCCAGGCAGGGGAGGAGCAGAATGAGAGTTATGTAAGGGTCTGCAACACCCGAGCTGAGATGCAACTCAGTGAGACTGACACGTGTCTCGCCCCCTCTCCCAACACGCAGTGGACATCATTCCTTCTTCGGAGTCAGCTAAATCGTTCGAGCTGAGCCTCACCTGGCCCACAGTGTCTTCTTCCGGAGCGAAAGGGTCGCGGAACAAGACTGTCACGTGAGTTGGAGCTGAGCATACAGTTCCGAGCTGATATCCTGGGGAGTGGGCCTGTACGAAGATCTCTGAGCGGCCCATGGTCCACCAGAGGCCATAATTTATGCACTCTGGCCTGCTGTGGCCTTATCACAAACCCCAATGCCTGACCGTACTTGGACTCCATTTCTCACCAATGCACATGTGCACACAGGGGCATCATACGGAGCGATGTTTATGGGACGAGCTTTTACAATCCGGTGGTGGTAGACAGCCTTCCGTACGCGGCTGAGGGCAGCATATCGGTGAGGGAGTACAGGTTGGAAAGCTCGGCAAGGGGTGAATATAATGGCACGAACGTGGTTGGGCGCATGCCGATGGCCCTGGTTCAAAGTCTCACGCTGGCGCCCCCCCCTTCAGATGAGCTCACACACTCCCTGGCAATTTTCCCGTGCCCCAGAGCTTCAACCCCCAGGCACCCTTCATCACATTTGCCAATGGGCCCTTCATCCCCGGCATCTACTTCTCCTACACCCCCCCCGTAGCTGAGGTGAGGGGGCTGTTCTTGATCTGCCACCGTGCATCTCGGTGCCATGCTCGCGTTTCAACAGATGCCAGGCTCCCATGCATGCCGCCTGGAGGTCCACGCATGCTGGCCCGGCATCCTCCCTCAACTGTTCATGTTCCTTCCTGGGTCCAACCCCAAACATCCTCCTGCAAGCAGGGCCTCTCGATGGTAGTGTGTCCCGTCACCTCGTCCCTGGCTCGAGGCTCCCTCACCGCCACCATTTACAATTCCAACTGGACTGCCTATCAACTGCTCCCGTGAGCTGAGTGGGGTTGGGCCTGGGGTCCTGGCGGCGATAGAACCCTTGCATTTTGGGTCTTGGGCTTGGCTCTCGTGGATGTGTGCGAAATTGGGAGGCCCCTCTTCCGGCTATGTTTGGGGACACATCATGGATGATTCTAGAGAGTGCTGCACAGGCAGGCATCGACCCATGAGGTCCCCAAACCATGCCACCTGCAGGCAAGTTGCACAACCAATACCAGAGGTCGGGCTTGGGTGCACCCAGGTGGTGGCAGCACTTCCCGGAAATGACAGTACGTTGAGATTTTGTACATGGAGGGGAAAGGCTGGGCATCAGATGATCGCCCCTGTCCTGCCTGCCCCTGTGCAAGGGAGCAGTCCCAAGGCATTGCAGCCCTCCTCTGCATGGTGGGAGCGCCCCATCCCCCTGGTGCAGCCCACCTGGGAGTCTGGTGATACCCCCGGCACAGCTCCCTGCCCCAAACCCTCCCATCACACAGCCTACTACATCGTCGCATACCCGGCCACCTCGATCGTCGCGCCCGGCACCTCACACCATTTCCAGGGGGACTTTGCGGTGGGCATAGATGCCCTCTCCGTCGAAAAGGTGGGTTGCCTCCCGGCCACCTCACCGCGGATGGGCGGGGCAGGAATCGTATAGCTGGCCCTGTCGCACGCTGCGCCTGTGCCCAGCTAGCAGCTGGCATCGGGAGTCCTCGTCGATCCTCCTCCAGCCACTCACTCTCACACTGGAATCCCCCCCTGGGCGCCCACAGGTCATGGCTGCGTTCGACGCGAGCTCGCTGGTCGCCAGCATCAACAGCATCCCCTATGGCGCATATGCAACATCCGACACCACTGGCCTGGTCTTCTACTTCAACCCCCCGCTGAGCACTCGAGTGGACATCACCACCTGCTTCAACGCCACCACGGTGGCCACAGTCGTGTCCCTCCTGGATGGGGAGACCCTGCTGCCCATCAGGTGCCGACCAGGGCTGCATGCATGGCTGGGTGGGGTCTGCGGGAGTGCAGCGGCCAGCGAGTCAATCGCCCCCACTTCCCGGCCACTCAGATGACACCTGCACACGCACATGCGCATGCATGCACACCAGAAATTACACACACACTGATGCTTGCTTCCCCCAGCATCCCACCCACCCCCCTCGCTTGCATCAACAAATCCTCGCAGCGTGAGCGAGAGCGAGGGCGGGGAACGGTGCGGCACCCTCCTGGACCAGCCGGTCACGCAGGGCCAGGCGTACTTGATCCTGGTGACCACGCCGCCCACCGCCGTGTCCCTCAGCCGCACCCCTTCCGTGGTGTTCATGAGCCTGGACATATCCGCGGGGGCCCCTGGGGCGGGCATGGAGTTTGGCGTGGTGGATCCCGCCGACTCCGTCGGCGTCGGGAATCTGACCATCTACCAGGTGGGCGACGGGCCCGCCGTCGAGCAGCTGCTGGGCCGCTCCGTGCCGTGACGGCTTCCTGGCTCGTGGGCACCGCAGCACGGCCTGGACCCGTCCCGGGCGTGTTCGATGCACCCAGTGGCTGCCTGGAGTCGCAGCCCTCTGACAGTGAGGAGTGCCATGCCGGGTCGGGACTATGAGGAGTGACCGGCAAGGCTGTGGGGTGACCACACCGCAGGGACATGCGTCTGTGCGCAGCCATGGACCTCGACATGCATGAGGTGTGTCGGAATGTTGTTCCTATGGCGGTGAATAACCGCCCATCACAAAAATTGGTGAGCTTTCATGCTGCTTGTGCACTATCCGGAACAGAGTCCCCACCGTCCGGGGTCGGTGAGTTCGAATACTCCGGAGACAAAAGGGTACTATGGGACCATCGAGGGTTGCAAGGACTTCCACCGCTCCGGAAGTTTGAGAGTCTCGCATCCAATATTACTACCGTGCATCCTTCCAGAGTTACTCCCAGCTACGGTATACAGGGCTGATTGAACCGCCTGACATCAGAGGATGTGTCCGCTGCCGGTATGTGCAGGCGATACGCGTGTCGGCACTCCACTGAGGAAGCGAGTCGAGCCATACGGCCCGCCGAAAGCCCGACCCTTCTCTGCACGCCGATATTGCCTGATACACAGCAGTCTGGCGGCGTTTCATCCCATGCACTCTAGTCTTTGTCCACTTCGAAGGCTGTTTGCGGTGGGAACTCCCTTGAATGCGCCGTATCGCCATTCTATGTCTGCGCTCCGGGATCACCTTCAAAACCCGAAAACCTAATTTTTAAAGAAGCGCCGGAGATACATTTTTGTCCATCCATATCTTAGACCATAGACCCAAGTCCACACCTCGGGAACGTGCCAGCACCTGCATTGCCAGCTTCCATCCCTTTCAACTGCAGCTTCCTCCGGCGCAGCTTTCCACGTCCGCGTACGACAGCGGCCCCATTCCTTCGGCAGCGGGTCTGCAGCCGGGGAAGGAGGTTCTCAGGCCCTCGCTGGGAGTACATGGGTACTTAGGAACTGATATACTCTACCTATATCTCTACAGAGATAAGGCCGCGTCTCATGTCACCTTGAGAGGGTCCGCCATCCCCGAGTGAAGCAGCCGTCAAGTAGCCGTTTTAGCTACCGCACCCCCCGCCTCCTGTCAAGTTCTCCGTCATGAAGACGGCGTATCGGGTTGATTCGCATCGGATAGTGGTGGCACTCTTGTGTCTCCTTGCGTCGCTCCGGATTGTGAGATCGGCCATGGGGGCGGCTGCGTTCCCTTGAGATGCTGGGCAGGACGTGGCGGTCTGCGGGTCCACAACCGTACAAACCCCATCTCCATGCCTATCGCAGGAGACAACAGTGCTCCCCTCCAGTTCACAGCATTCTTCTGGTCCCTCGCCGTGCAGGTGTCATGCCAGACCGATAGCTTCTTCAAGTCCCCTTTCGCACTTAGCACAGCTTCGGGTCAGCCGGGGGGTCGACGTTGCCCGTGTTTCTACGCTCCATTGATCATGAAACAGATGATGTAGCAGACTCACACACAGTCCAGCCGCCCAATTTCATCCCCGTAACCCAGAGAACGCGCTCATTGTGGGTTCCCTCTTTCAATCTGCGAGCTGCAGTGTGGACGCCACCTGCGACCCGTCCTCTCTGCCGCAGCAGCTGTCGGTGGTGCAGCTGACGCAACCCCTGACAAACAACTTTTGCACCGGTATGGAGCAGGTGGCGTGTATGCGTCTGGTGCGACACATGCACATGACAGAAGACCTCCATCTTCCCCCTGAGCATTTCCATTCCCTTTGCCTCAGGTACCCTCATCAAGGGTCCTGGTGACAGAATTTACATCCTCTCGGCCCGTCACTGCATCACCGCTCTCAGCTCCAGCTTTGTTTACCCCTGGAGCTCCTACGGAGTTCTCTTCAACTTCAAGCTGCCGTGCGGCGCGTCGCGTGTGGACAATATCACGGCGACATTCAGCGATTTCCTGCAGGTAGGGCGGGGCCAGCAACTCAGGCACGCATGCAGATGCAGGTTGTCCGACTGCAGGGCACAGGGAAGTAGATTGAGACGTCCTAGCTCATCTTGAGAAGAGTTCACCTCCAGGGTTCAAGCACTGAGCCCTGGACATGCCCATGGCGAGCTCGCTTTCCCACTTCATGCAGGGCCTCTCAGTGGTATTCCAGGATATCAACAGCGATGTGGCGGTGTTTGAGTTGCTGCAGGACATCCCACCAGAGTGGAATGTGATGCTGGCAGGTGAGCTTGCCTGCAGGGGCATTCTATGATTCTGCATGGGGATTCATGACGGCTTCCCTCCCTGGGACTCTGGACCGTGCATGCCCTTGACTACATCAGCCCTGCACGTTCCTCGAGGGGACAAGGTCCTGTGTCTACAAACGGCCTCCCCTAACCCCTTTCCCCCACCCACCAGGCTGGGACGCAACCAACGTGCTGAACAACTTTACGTGGACGGATGTCGCTCAGCCACATGGGGACTCGCAAAAGATTGCCACAGGCTTGTGCGTTGGGAGCAGAGCACTCTCGGAGTGGGGTGCCATGAGATGGTGACCCGGGTGCCTGGCTCTGCTTGTTTCTTGCATTGTACCCAACAAGCAGCTATGCCTGCTACATGGATTTTGCTTGTTCCTCTACTGGAGGGATAACCCGCTGCAACAGAGTGCCTGCCCACCTTCATCGTATGCTCTGGCCCCTCCGCCCGCACCCTTCTCCAGGGTTACTGATACGTTCCTATACGAAGTGTTCTACAAAAATGGAACCGTGGATTGGTCAGAAGACACCGCCTGTGCCTCACCCCGATGCGGACACTTCAAAACCATCTTGTACAGCGGGAGTCTTCAGCCGGGAGCCAGTGGTAGCGGCGTCGTGCATGATGGTAAGTTGGAAGGGAGTGAGGGGTCACGCTCAGTGTTTTGGGTTTGTAGCATCTTCCCTCCCCAATGCTTGCCCTGACAAGACCATACAATCTGTCATGGGTATGCATAGCGTCTCACGAACTTGTCCCACGCATGGGCTGGTCGATTCTGCGTAGACCTGCACAGGGTCGTGGGTGTGCTCTCCAGCGGGGGAGGCGAAGACTGTGCCAACCCCGAGGATCCCTTTGGAGATGAGTCGCCCGTCTTAACATTTGGACGCTTGGCAAGGGTGAGCTGGTCCCGGGCCTGACTACCTTGCCCTGCTTGATGCTCGGCCCAAGATTGGTGCCGCGCTGGGAGGCTGAAGTATGGCTCCAAAAGCGGTAGGCACTGACAATCCCCACCTTCACACCGACATCTGTCTACCAGGCCTGGATCAGTGGGCTGTACCACCTGTTTGATGGCGCCACCGTAGACCAGCCAGGCAGCGCCGACTACACGACTTACTCCCCCCCTCTGCCCACACTGAGCATCGGGAACATCGTCCCGGAGGTGAACCCCACCCTGGGGCCCGCAGCCATCTCCATCCAGTAAGAGATGGCATGAGGGGGAGAAGGGTAGTGTGAGGGTACTTGACTTGTTTGAGTCTTGTATAACCACCACAGGGGCTGCTTGCTCATCCTGTGCCACAGACTTGCCAATCCAATCTGCCATTCGACCAAATGATGCAGTTCAGCGTTCTCCTTGCCTTCCCCAGATTGCAGCAGGCACCACAGCACTCGACCACGGTGGAGATCGCCTCAATGGACAAGACCTTGATCAGCGTCTCGCCCTCATCTGTGACCTTCACCGCCAGCAACTGGAGCACGCCGCAGTATGTCAACCTGACTGCAGGTGAGGGCAGCGTGTTGGTGGTGTGGGAGAAGGGCCCGGGGGACGTACATCAATGTGACAGAGTGTAGTAGCAAGCGACTGTCAAGCCATGGTGTAGCGGAATGGGGTGGTTCGGGCACCTACATCCAAGTTGGTCTGTGATGCTGACATATGGAGTCTCACACCTCTCCCAATAACGCAGTGGATACCATTCCTGAAACGGAATCAGCCGAGTCGTTTGAGCTGAGCCTCACATGGCCCACGGTGTCTTCCAGTGGAGTGCATGGATCGCGGACCAAGACGATCACGTGAGAGGTTTGGATGGGCACATGGCCCCTGTGCTGACGTCCTGGATGCCAGGCATGCCCCAGCTCCCTGGGCGACAGACTCCCCGGCAGGGATTAGGGGTTGTACGCCCCGGCCTGCACAGCTCTTTGCAGCTGCCCTAGTGCCTGGTCGCACTTGGAGTACACCCCTTCTTCATGCATGTTCACACACAGGGGTATTGTGCGGAGCGACGTGCAAGGGACGAGCTTCTTCAATCCAGTGGTTGTGGACAGCCTTCCGTTTGCGGTTGAGGAAAGCATCTCGGTGAGGGGACCTGGAGTGGACACCGGGACATTACAGGGTTGAGGTGCACCTGTGCGTTTGGGCGCGGGGCGGTGCCAATGCTTGCAACGAGGCACAGTCCCATGCTGATCCACTGTGCAACTAATTTTGATCACGCCTCCCTCTTCCCGTATATCAGAGCTTCATCCCCCAGGCGCCCTTCATCACATTCGCCAATGGGCCCTTCATCCCCGGCGTCTACTTCTCCTACACACACTCCGCCGCTGAGGTGTGTGGGGCGTGCCCTCTGCGCCGCCCTGCCCTTGTGCACGTCAGTGCCGTGCTCGCAGACCAGAGCCACCCCCCCTTCCCAGGCCGCGCCGTCTCGAGGCCCAGGTGCACTGCCCTGCACCCATCCCTCCCTTGGCCCCATTTCTTCCCGGGTCCACCCCATTCAACATCCTCCTGCACGCAGGGCCTCTCGATGGCGATGTGCCCCGTCACCTCGTCCATGACCCATGGCTCCCTCACCGCCACCGTCTACAACTCTAACTGGACCTCCGAGGCCCGGATCCCGTGAGCAAGGGTTGGGTCGGAATGTGGTGCCAGCAGGTGTCAGATTCTTGACCGGTCCTGTCATGCTGATTCTCGTGCAGCTGAACAGGATTCCAGAGCACTTGTTGCGTCCCCATCTGGTGACACAGTGCACTATCGTTCCAGAGGTTCTGATCCAGACAGGGATCGCTCTCCAGCATGCTATTCGTAAGTTATCTGAACCGTACTGCGTGCAGGCAATTCGTACATCGCATGCCAGAGCTGGGGGAGGGTTGCTCTCAGCTGGTCGCCGCACTGCCTGGGAGCGACAGTGAGTTGGAGTCGTGGATGAAGATGTGGCACTGGGTGGTGGCTTGTTGCTTTGCCCTGATTGTCTCGGTGAGTGGGAAGGCCTTGGCCGTGGCAATGCTGCCACGTTCCTGCATTGTGGAGCGGGCCCCTTGCTCCGCTGCAGGCTCCCTGATAGCTCTCAATGCAACCGGCACAGCTCCCTGCCCAAACACTCCCTGCCCGCAGCCTACTACATTGTAGTGTACCCCGTCACCACATTTGTCGTGCCCGGCACTTCCAACAAATTTGAGGGCGACATTGCCGTGGGCATGGACGCCCTCTCCATAGAGAAGGTGGGATGCCGCCCGGCGACTCCATTGCAGGCTTTCGTGGGAGTATGAGCCCACGGCTGGCCAGCCTGCATGCTGTGCCTGTGTCCAAACATCAGCAGAACTTGAGATCCCTGACTACCCCTCCCCATCCGGCATCCACGCCCATGTTCCCTCTCCCGGTGCCCACAGGTCATGGCTGCGTTTGAGGAGAGCGGCCAGGTCCCCAGCATCAACAGCATCCCTTACGAGGCCCACTGGCATCCCTCACCCTTGGGCCAGCTGTTCTACTACAGTCCCCCCCTGAGCACCCTCGTGGACATCAGCACCTGCTTCAACGCCACCACTGCCCCCACAGTTGTGTATCTCCTGGATGGAGAGACCCTCGAGCAGATCAGGTGCTGGCCGGGGCTGCATGCATGGTTTGGCGGGGGTGGTGGGCCCTCTGCAGCCAGCAAGTCAACTGTGATCACCCCCTGGACTCTCCAGAGGCACATTCATACACACAGGCAATGGACCACGGGTGTGAACGTCCTCACATGCCATCCCCCTGCCAAGCCCCTCCCCCCAATCTACCATCCCCGCGCAGTGTGAGCGAGAGCGGCGAGGTGTGCGGCGACCTCCTGGACCAGCCCGTGACAGAGGGCAAGGCGTACCTGATCCTGGTGACAACCCTGCGCCCCTCCGTGTCCCTCAGCCGCACTCCCCCCTTGGTTCTCATGACCCTGGACATCTCACCGGGGGCCCCCGGGGCAGGCGTGGCCCTTGGTGAGATGGCCGCCGCTGGAATTTCTGGCGACGGGTACCTGATGGCCCACCAGGTGGGCGACGGGTCGTTGGTCCAGCGGGCACTGGTGCCCTCCAAGCAGTGACGGCCGCCTGGGTGTGAGCACTGCACCAGGGTCCTGCACCGCGGCGGGTGCAGCGACTTTCCCAGTGGTGACCAGGGGTGAGTTGCCCTGGCATCGAGGAATCCTGGTGCCCTGCTGACAGTGGCGGGCAGTACCCGGCAGGGCCGCATTCCGACAGCGCCGCAGCAACATGTCTTCATGTGGAGGCTGCTGCCTCTCACCTTTGAATACCATCTGATGGGGAACCCAGCACCGTGATCGATAGATGGCAACCACCCATCTGTTGGGGCTTTCGTGATGTCATGCTCTGCAAACGCCATCCAGAATTCCAATCATCCTCACCCAACCTGGACATTTGAGCTGGGCGGGAAGGGGATGGGAGCAAATGGGGTGCCTTGTGAATCATCTCCATGGCAATAATTGTCACTTCCATATTCACCCTCCAGTCGAAAGCTCTACTCCTTAGACGCCCTTGAGCCCTTGAACGGTATGGTGGCGGTCTCTGGATGAGATGACGGGTCAGGATAAAGGCATAAGTGAGCAGACAGGTTCCACGCTTTTGGTAATACACCGTGGGTAAAACAGGGAAATTGGCAAGAGATTCAGACGACAGCCTCCCCAGTCTCAAAGACAAGCGGCGATGAACGGAGGAGGGAAGGCCAAAAGAGGCATCGAACGCCAGCTGCTTGATCTTCAGCCCAATAAAAATGCAAGCAGAGGCAAAAGAATGATACTAAAGTCGCGCTACTACCACTGAGCTATAGGAGCTTGGAGGGTTGCTCCCACGGTGGATCGAACACCGGACCTCGACCTATTTGGGACGGGATTTTCCCGTGATGGCAATCTGCCTTTTCCAAAAACTATGTTTACTGGCGGCATTTCCCCTCCCTTGTACGTTGCAATCGTCAACACCTGGACCTGTTGCTAACAAGAGTACAACCTCCATTGATGTGCCCAAGTAGAGACTTCAAGTAGTCAGTGGGGAATGATGTCACCGCTCCTGCAGAAAGGGCTCGGCACTGATGGCGGGAGGATCCACGGCGCGCACTGACGGTTTCGTGCTCTCGGTAGAGGTTCCCAGCCACACCTAAGCGTCGAATACACGCTCGTTCGCAAGAGAATAATATCTCCACGCTTCCCCAACCTGCTCGCTGACACGCACGGACCGTCCCTTGGCTCAAGGATGAGCACGTCGGCATACACAAGGCCAAGCCAGACGGAGGACCTGACGGCAAAGCTTTCCAAGGCATACGAGACCGTGGCACCCTATGCTCTGGTGGGCTGGAATGGGTGGTGTGAGGGCCTCCCTCAGATCTGCGGGCGGTGCTTGTCGAGCTCCCGTTGTAGGAATGAGAGTGTTCTACCTTAAGCAGCACGCCTCTGAGCAGCGCGGCCCCCCCCCCTCTTCCCTCCACGCACCGCAGACTGCCCTGCACGTAGGCTTTATTCCACTGATCATCGGCGTCGCCCTGGTGACCACCGAGCCCCGCCCCACCCTGCTGCAGTTACTCAGCCCCATGTAGGGAGCCTGGCGTTAGGTGCGGCTGGGTCGCTGCCCTTGTCTGACTCTCTCCTGCTGCATGTACATACACATACGATCGCATGCCAAGGCAGTATGAGAGATTCAAGAGGGGGTAGACGCGGACACATGGGCGTGAGGTGATGGATACATGATTTGAAGGCTGGAGCCTGGCAACAAGACTGCATGCCTGGTGTGGCGCCCTCCTGAGCTCGCAGCAGGGAATCGAACTCCTGGACCACGCCCGAATATTTAGCCCGGCCGCCTGGTCCGTGCTCCACACACACCTGACCTCTGGATTGCGGCACCGTGCTCCCCATCACCCCTCCAGCGGGCAGGCGCGCATGGCCGCCTCCAACCGCGTGATCGCCCGCTCCACACGCGCCTTGAGCCCCGCGTCTGCGCACCGCACGCCGCGCGACTTGCAGTCCACCAGCACATGCGCGCCGTCTACCTCCAGGAACGTCAGGCCCTGTCGGGAGGATGGGGGAGGGGGGGTGTCCTGGAAGCCTGCCTCGAGCTGGCGCATGCTGCCTCCCAGTGCACAGCTGTGAACGGCGGGCGACGTACGCGCGCCCAGCCCAAAGTGTCCACCCATCTATTCCAGGGCAGCGCCCTGCTCATCCACCCCCCCCACACCATCCCCCACAACACCCACACACATCTCCCCTCACCGTCTCCGGGTCGGTGGCCGCCGGCCCGAACTGGGCGGAGAGCAGGGCCTCCACCAGCTCGGCCTCCACGAGCGCCAGGGCCTCCCCGTCCCCGCCGCGCAGCGCCTCGGCCCGCGCGGCGTCCAGGCGGGACAGGCGCGGCGGCGGCGCGGGCCCAGCGCCCAGCACCACCGCCACCACGGCGTCGGCGACAGCGTCCGCGCCGGGCCCGCCCTGCCACTCCAGCGTCAGCCGGCCGGGCGCACTCGCCGGGTCGTAGCTGACGGTCACCGCCTCGCCCACGCGCAGGATCTGCGGCGCCACAGGCGCACCCTCCCGGTCGTTTGCCGTGGCGCCCTGGTCGCTGCTGACCAGGGCCAGGTCCCCGGCGCCATGCACGCCCTCGAACAGCAGCTCCAGCGCCAGCCGGACCTTTGGGGGGGAAAGAGGAGAGGAGACGGGGGGGAGGCTACTGTTCAGCTGGAGAGAGGCCATGGCGCTGGGATGGAGAGGGCGCACGGTGGGTGTTGGAACCCCTCAGAGGCTGGAGGGCGATCGGAGACTCACACGTGCCAACGCCCCGTCGAGGGGGCGTGGGTGAGCCCTGCTCGCGTCCCGCGCGCTCCCCCCCACAACAAAACGCACTCCCTCCCGCACCTCAACTCAGCCACCACCTGGTCAAAGGGCGCGTGCGAGGGCCAGGGTCTGGCGCAGGGTCACCCTCCCCGTGTGCAGCCGGGTGTAGCGCGGCAGGTCCTCGGGCTCGAGGATGAGGGGCGGCGGCGGCGGCGCGGCCACGCCGCCCGCCCCCGGCGCCGCCACGTACACTCCCGCCAGTGCGGCGCCGGGCTTGGCCCCCGCCGCGGCGGCGCCGCCGCGCAGCAGGGCCGGCCGCGCCGGCGTGGCGGCCACCAGCACGGCCTGCGTCGCGCGCGGGGTGTAGACCGCGCGCGGCCGCCCCGCGGCGGCGGCCGCCGACTCGAGCGCGCGCGCGAGGCGCGCCATCTCCCCCGCCTCGCCGTGCACCAACACGACGTGGGGCGGGGCCAGCGTGTCCAGGAAGCCCGAGGTCTGCGGGAAGTCGGCGTGCGCGGAGAAGGAGATGGCGTCCACCTGGCAGCGCAGCGGCACGCGCGCGCCCGCGCGCGTCAGCACCTCGGCCGGCCCCGCCAGGATCTCGCGCGCCAGCGTGCCCTGCACCGCGAAGTCGGCGATGACCACCAGGTTGCGCGCGTCGCCGCACCACGCCTCGAACAGGTCGCGGGAGACGCCGGACTGCAGCATGGAGGGGGTGGCCATGACCACGCAGGCGCCCACGTCGTCAAAGGCGCGCGCGGAGCGGAGGTGGGTCACGTGGCGGAAGGCAAAGGGGTTGGCCACGGCAAAGGCGGCCTGGATGTCGGCGTTCATCATCTCGATGTAGGTTTGGTACACTGAGATGGCGCGCTTGGCCAGGCCCGAGGCCTGGTAGATGGGCACGCCGTGCAGCTCCGGGTGCGCCGCCCAGTGCTCCTCCAGGATCAGCAGCAGCTCCTGCGCGCGGCCCAACGCCACCACGGGCAGCAGCACGCGCCCGCCGCGCGCCACCGCGGTGTGGATGCGCTGGAGGAAGCGCGACTCGCGCTCCGCGCGCGGCAGGTGCCGCGACACGCCGTAGGTCGACTCCACGATCACGATGTGTGGGGGGGGGGATGGCGTGTCCGCCGCCGGCATGTGCCGGTCGGGCACGCGGCTGTAGTCGCCTGGGGGTGGTGGGTGGGTGGGCTGTTAGGTGGGCAGTGGGTGGGGGGTGGGGGGAGGTTCTGCCAGCGATTCATGGGCAGTGCTGCTGGCAATCCTAGTACAGAGAAGGCAGGGCGTAAAAGGGCACCGAATGGAGCAGCGAGGGGGTGCACGCTGGTGCGCATCAAGATTCAAGCGTCTTGAGAACGCCATGACGAGCGCTGCCAAGGGCTGAGCCAGGCCCGAGGCAACCTACCCTTGCCACCTGGGAACCCGACCACACTGCTGACAAGGAAGACCCTCCATACCTCCAGGCTTTCCGACCTATTCCCCCACACAGCCCCCCTTCCCTTTTCAATCCCCCCCCTCCCCCCCCAAAAAGAAGGGAAATCAACGCCGCCACATCTCCTCACCGGTGTACAGAATGCGCTGGCCGGCGATCTCCACCATGAACATGGCGGCGCCCAGCACGTGGCCAGCACGGTAGGCCGTGATGCCGATGCCGTTGACACACAGGGTCTGCTGGAAATTGATGACGTGCGTGCGCTCCAGCGAGGCATCCAGGTCGGCCTCCGTGTACAGCCCGGCATCTGGCGGTGGACAGGGCAGGGGTTGTTGATGGGAGGGAAAGGGTGACAGAAGATCCGACGCGGACTCTATCCCTACAGGCTGGTTGGGTGACTCAATTTCATGGCGCACAGCGAGTATCGCCAGCGGGGTCCTAGCATCCAGGCCGACCCACACTGCCTCCACGAAGTGGAGTTCACCGGCTTCGCCCGCCAGGCCTCGCCCTGCCCCCTCCACCTCCCCTCCCAAACCCTCCCAAGCCCCTGGATCCCTGTACCCCTGACTCGCCTGCGCCTCCCTTGCTGACTTTTACAAAATCTCGGAGCAGGGTGCTGGTGATGGCTTTGGTGGCATGCGTCATGAGGATGGTGCCCCGGAAGTTGGTGTGCCCGACCACGTAAGGCACGGCCGCGGAGTGGTCCAGGTGGAAGTGGGTCACCAGCATCACGTCCACGCTGGACATGTCTATGACGTCGAAGAAGGGGAGGGAGGCCAGGCCGGAGAAGCCGGGGTGCACCCCGCAGTCCAGCATCACCGTCTTCCCCGCGAAGCGCACGATGACGCAGGAACGCCCCACCTCCTGCGCTGCTCCCAGGGGGATAATCTCCACATGACTGGTGGGCGTGGTGGGTGCAGCGTCTGCGGGGGGAGCGGGGCCCCCCCCAAAAAGAAGGGAAATCAACGCCGCCACATCTCCTCACCGGTGTACAGAATGCGCTGGCCGGCGATCTCCACCATGAACATGGCGGCGCCCAGCACGTGGCCAGCACGGTAGGCCGTGATGCCGATGCCGTTGACACACAGGGTCTGCTGGAAATTGATGACGTGCGTGCGCTCCAGCGAGGCATCCAGGTCGGCCTCCGTGTACAGCCCGGCATCTGGCGGTGGACAGGGCAGGGGTTGTTGATGGGAGGGAAAGGGTGACAGAAGATCCGACGCGGACTCTATCCCTACAGGCTGGTTGGGTGACTCAATTTCATGGCGCACAGCGAGTATCGCCAGCGGGGTCCTAGCATCCAGGCCGACCCACACTGCCTCCACGAAGTGGAGTTCACCGGCTTCGCCCGCCAGGCCTCGCCCTGCCCCCTCCACCTCCCCTCCCAAACCCTCCCAAGCCCCTGGATCCCTGTACCCCTGACTCGCCTGCGCCTCCCTTGCTGACTTTTACAAAATCTCGGAGCAGGGTGCTGGTGATGGCTTTGGTGGCATGCGTCATGAGGATGGTGCCCCGGAAGTTGGTGTGCCCGACCACGTAAGGCACGGCCGCGGAGTGGTCCAGGTGGAAGTGGGTCACCAGCATCACGTCCACGCTGGACATGTCTATGACGTCGAAGAAGGGGAGGGAGGCCAGGCCGGAGAAGCCGGGGTGCACCCCGCAGTCCAGCATCACCGTCTTCCCCGCGAAGCGCACGATGACGCAGGAACGCCCCACCTCCTGCGCTGCTCCCAGGGGGATAATCTCCACATGACTGGTGGGCGTGGTGGGTGCAGCGTCTGCGGGGGGAGCGGGGACAGCCTCGCTGGGCCCAGCGGCCACCGTCATGCTCCCACTACAAACGCATGCACGCAGTTGGACTTTGATGGATGGTTTATAATCGATTGTTGTCAATATGAAGGTACAGTGTGCTCAGAATTGCACCTCGATCAGGCAAACAATTTAAGGCGCGTGGACCGGGCGATCGAACTAGAATCTCGTGTTGACGACAAACCAACGTCATGGGTGCCCTGAGAGGGACACCTCGACCTCGATCAGCACAGCCTCCGAGCAGGCACGGGACGGAATGCAATTATCGCTGGGTGCAGACATACGTGGTTGTCGAGTGGGCAGCCCTTGACTGCGTCGAGTGGCGTCGTGGTGTTTGAGTTGGGTCCACGGGCCAGTCGACCTCGCGATCACCTCCACCATCGCCCAGATCTGACATGAGCAGGGCCTTGTAGGATGCCTAAACCGCGTAACGATGGCTTGACAGTCGCCATTCCAGAGGATGCCGAGGTGGCCAGCGAGGCCCCCAGCGGGGAGACCTCTGGCCCGGCGGAGCTCTCGAGCAGCAGCTCCAGGAACAAGTTCAGTCCTGGGGCTGTGCTGAACAAGATGATGCCCCGTCAGCTGACGAGGGTGACCTCCTCTGCAGTCGCCCGGCTGCGCTCCTCGGTGGACCCTCGGAAACAAGCAGCCCTGCGTGCGGAGCTGCAGAGCAATCTGGAACGCACTGACACCCCCAAGGTGGGGCGGTGTGGAGGCGTGTCGGGGCATGGATTGCAAAGGAGCCCTGGGATCCAGGAGCCCTGCCCTGGTCAGGACGGTGGCCCTTGCCAGCCGTCTGACAGTGTGGGTTTTGAGTTGCCCCTGTGCCAAGCGCGCTGGGCAATGCCCCCACAGCTGCAATGCACCATGAAGCTATGCACACGAGGCATGGCGCGCAGAACCCACCCCTTTCCCCCTGTGCTCTCCCCCAAAGGTCACCAAGGGCGACAGCAGGAACGGCGCGGCGGCCCAACAGCTGCGTGTGATCCACTTTGACCCCCAGGGCGGGACCACGGTGGATGGCAAGACGCCCTCCAACCGTGTGGTGACCAGCAAGTACAACCCTATCACCTTCCTCCCCATCTTCCTGTTCGAGATGTTCTCCCGCGTCGCCTACCTCTACTTCCTGCTCCAGGTGCGGCGCCGGCGCGGCCCCCATGCAGGGCAGGTGTAGGACGCACCACCGGCCATTCCTCTGGCTGACACTGGACCTACCTCCTCCCTCCCTGCCAGGCCTGCCTGTCCTGGTGGAGCGTGGTGTCCCCTTTTGGCGGTGTGGGGGCCACCGCTGCCCTCGTCTTCGTGCTGCTTGTCGCCGGGATCAAAGCGGTGTGGGAGGACGTGAAGCGGCACCAGGAGGACAAGACCATGAACGCCTCCACCACCCACCGCGCCAACCCCGACGGTGTGGTCGGCGTGGGGTGGCTGGGGGGGGAGGAGGGATCTGTGTCGGTGCAAGGATCTGTGTCGGTGCAAGGTTCTGCCGTGGGATGCAGCCGGCCGTTGAGCATCAGGGCGGTGCCCTAGTCATGGGTCTGGCATTGTGGGACGTGCCTGCTATCTGTCAACATGAATGCTGTCCTCCCTTTCACCCTCACACCCCTCCCACCACCTCAGGGAGCATCACCGACATCTCCTGGACTGAGGTCAAGGTGGGGGATGCGCTGGTGGTGCGGGACGACGAGCTCTTCCCCGCCGATATGGTGTGCCTGCAGTCCCAGCTCCCCGACCGCGTCTGCTTCATCCGGACCACCAACCTGGACGGGGAGACCAACCTGAAGATCCGAAAGCCCATTGACCTCAAGGGCATCCAGGTGGGCGGGTGTCTCGTTGTGGAGGATGTGGTTCCCTCGGGTCTGGACGTGGCCTGCCTGATTGGGAAGTTGCGGCTGATTCCGAGCGGGAGGGATGAAGCGTCTGGGGCATTCTCCAGGGGTGCATGGTGGGTGCAGCTGGGACCTGTCTGGTGCTCTTCCCAGCGAGCGGCACTCAAGGTTCCTTCTGGGTGAGCCCTGCGGCCAGACACTCACCCCATTCCACAATGCACAACCCCTGTCACAGGCCAGCTCGGTGCAGGAGGCCATGCGCCTGCGCATCAGGCTGTCTGCCGAGGCCCCCAACCGCAACCTGCACCGCTTCAAGGGACAGGCCACGATCCTGAGCGAGCAGTTTGCACGTACCCCCCTGAGCCCCGGCTCGGACAAGATGGTGTGGAGCGGGAACGGCACGGCCGCTGGTGGGTGACAGTGTGGTCTGTGCATGGGTTGGGAGCTTCAGGGTCTAGTCATCGTGTGCCCTGTTGAGAAGGGGATGTTGCACAGGCTCTTCCGTGCAGTCGCTGCGCCAGACTTGCAAGCTCGTGCAGCTTGGATGTCGAGCCAGCTCTTTGCCAGCAGGGGTGTTGTGAGCATTGGTCGCAGCATGGATGTCCTGCCTGCACGGGAGTCCACTCGCCTGCCCCCTTTAAACCCCCCACACACCAACGCGCAACAGGGGAGGAGCCGCACGTGAACGTCCCTGTGACCATGAACGAGATGCTGCTGCGCGGCTGCATGCTGAAGAACTCCGGCTCCATCCTGGGCCTGGTGGTGTACACGGGGCGGGAGTCGCGAATCCAGATGAACGCGGCGCGCACGCCCAACAAGGTCGGCTCCTTCGACCGCTTCCTCAACCTCCAGATCGGGCTGGTCATCGCCTTCCAGCTGGTGCTGGTCATCTTCTGCGCCGCCGCCAACCTGGTCTGGCAGAACACCATGGGTGTGGACCGCTATTACCTGGCGCTGAACCAGGACGTGCAGGTGGGCTTTCCTTGGTTGGTCGCCCCCCCCGGGGGGGGGGGGGGGGGGGGCAACGGAGGGAAGGGAAGTGGGTCG